CCGGAACCTCCTTTCCAATCTCTTGAGGATTCTGCAAAACTTCCTCAGGAGATTTTTTAATGTCTTTCAAGGGTTGTTCTTTGAAAAGATCTGCCTCGCTGCGTCGAGAGAATAAAGCGGGCATTAGGTCCTCCTCTCGCTCCTTCCCGAAGTCGGGTTTCGATGCTTTCTGGCTCTTTTGCGAGGTGTCGGCCAATTTCTTTTCCACGCCAGGCTGAGAAGTTTGTTGTGAAGCCAACCGTTTCTCTAATGCTTGCTTAGGTGCTTCTGTTAGAATTTTCTCCTCAGGTTGAGGTACTACATTTTCTTTCTGTTTTTGCTTCGTCTCTGTTTCAATTAGGTGCTGTTTTTCGAGTTTCCCTAAAAAATGGGGGTCAGATATTTTTAGAACATTCCACAAACAGAACACTAACTAATCTGACAGTGCTTTACCTTTGTCTTTAACAGGACCTTCTTCATCTACAGTTTTAACGGCAGTTTTCTCAGTTTGCTAAAAGATGTCTTTGATAACCACATTTTGCCTTATGATAGTGAAGAGCATAGCTTGAGCTTATATAGCCAAGATATGCAGCTTAAATATTGTTGACGTTTCAAGTGTGAGGAAAGCTTTCTTAGATTTTATCCTATTAGTAGTTTCTTATGCGAAGTGCACATATATGCAGATAATGCGCACATTCAGACCAGATTAGTGCAGTATACTCCGGTACAGCTTCATGGTATAGAGTAAGAGCTAGGTGACTTCATCATCACCATTTCTATTTTCGATATTAAGCATGACAAGAAATACTTAGCTATAGACGAACAAGGGTGTCATCTGTCCTGTGCTGATGCCCACAAGCTCTATCACGGGGTAAATGGATTCATTTGCCTTATTTAATCCGTGCGCGTATGAAAATGGTCGAAACCACTTGTGGTTAGCATTTAAAGAATTCTCCATCACCTAGCAACAACGAATGATAACGTTTAAAGTTAAAAATAACCAACCACCTACGCTGATTATGGCTCGCGGCAAGATTGGAGAAGGTCCTTGTGGCATGACACGG